TGTGCGGTTGGATAAAATGTTACATCTGATTGTATTTATCTTCCCCGTGAAGTGGACTGCAAAATCCTCACAGAGGGAGTCTGTGGGGGTTAAAAGAGACATGCTAAATCAGGGTTTAAAATGGTGTCGATGGTTGAAAAAAGGATTTTTGGATTATTTTTGTTCTGGCTGATTAGATTTGCAAAGTATTTGTTTCTAATTGTGTAATTGTATGCTTTTTGATTGTTTTTATATATTTCGTAGTTGATTGTTGTTTTATTTTTCCTCCATCTTCGTTCTGCCACCCTGCACTCTTGTTTCATTTTGCGTACTTCTTCATTTCTCCATGGGGGTGCAGATTTTGTTTTTATGATTTTTGTTTTTAAAGGAGCCACCTGATCCAACACAGAACTAAGTCTACTGTTAAAATCATTTGCTATAAAATCACAGGGGGCAGGTAAAACCAAGTGGGGAGTGTTGTTTAGGATGTCGATAAAATTTGCAGCCATGTCCATGATTAAAGACGCACACCAGACACTGCTTTCAGAAGTGCTGAGAATGTTCATACAATTCCTGTCTGGACTTGTCTCAACCAGGTGAACTTAAATGTGGTTGTTTAAATGTCACTTGATCCTAGTGGCGGCACGGTGGCTGAGAGGTTAACAGTTTTGCTTCACATGGACAATGCACGGCAAGGTTTTAATTGTATAGCACGATTCATACTTAAGGCAACTCAAAGTGCTGAGCAAAACAAGACAGAAACAATCAGACAAGGCATAAAAATGATGAATAATCAAAGTACATTAAAAAGAGAGACAGAACTGCTTTTAACCTGGATTCAAAGATTGTCAGGGAAGAAGCCTGTCTCGAATTTTCAGGAAGATTGTTTCAGATTTGGGGCGACAGTAGCTCAGTTGGTAGAACATTAGCCTTTGGGCCTGAAGGTCGTGGGTTCGAGCCCACCGTAAGACCTACCTCAGAAGTCATCTACCTACCGCTGATGACTGCTGTCGTTGTGTCCTTGGGCAAGATACTTAACCCCACTTTGCCTGAAACCCCCACTGAAAGATCTCAGCTCCTGTGGACTCACCACCTGCAGGAGGATCAGTGAGGGGCTGGTGCTGAGTGTACTGGGTGCAGCTCTGACTGCCACCCCCCCCCCCCCCCCCCCCCCAAGAAAATGGATGGATGGATGGATTTTTCAGATTTTGGCCTTCCTGAGTGGAGTAAGGCTAATAAGGCTCTATGTGGCCAAAACACGTACTGTAGCTAGTCCCTGTTCTATTAGAGGAGTTTTATTTACTGTCAAGACTGCCTCGGATTTACTCTTTTCTCACGTGTTGCCAGGGTTTTTTTTCCCGCTGATCCTGATGAGCACCTGACAACATTGACTCACTGAAGCTCATCTTTCTTAAAATTATTGCCCCATAAATGTTGTTGTATTTTACTAAACCTCACATCCCAATCATATACGCCATTGTAGCTACATTCCTTGCTAGCAAAGTGACTGATCTGAAAATATGGTCACGTCCCTTCAGAAAGTGTGCTTTCATAAAACTGCTCACAAACTGGAAGAATCCAGATCTAATGAACCGAGTGAATGACGATGAATTCATAATTGTATTTAGATTATGGTGTGAATATTGTTCAATTGTTTGAATAATATAACAAAACAATATTGAGCAATGATTTTGTAGAGACATTGCGAGTCCTAAGAAAACATTTACCACAACCTTCAGTTCTCTATGTGTTTCTGGACTGAATAAATGCAAACATGTGTCCAACATTGATGACTTTGTCGACTGTTGGAGGAGTCAACACAAACCCAAGGCCAAATCTTCAGCTGACCGTGAGAGACGCCGAGGAGCCATGGCCCTGTACCACTCGGAGGCAAAGGGCATCCTCATCTTCATCACAGAAGAGAACAGAACACCACGGCCCGTCAGAGTCGGGTTCATGGTTAAGGTTTATACAAACTTTATCTCTTCATCAAGTATCAGAATATATTTATTTTATTTATTTATTTATTGGAGAAACTAACTAACAGTGACAGCAGAAAAAGGGCATATTTATTCAAAAAGTAAGTTTCTACTCCACATACATGTTTCCATGATTTTTTTCTCAGATGTTTTTCTTTTATTTATGTTATTTATTTTAGTAGGTTTCAATCTAAAGTTGCAAGGCTCCACTGTTTGTCTATTTAATAAGTATTGATATGGGAGTTTTATCTGAATTAATTTACTATAATAAATAATAATAATAATAATCATACAAGCTTAGTAAATTGAGTCATGAGGTTAACCAGGGGCGACAGTAGCTCCGTTGGTAGAGCATTGGCCTTTGAGCCTGAAGGTCGTGGGTTCGAGCCCATCGTAAGACCTACTTCACGACTCCCACTGATGACTGCTGTCGTTGTGTCATTGGGCAAGACACTTAACCCCACTTTGCCTGAAGCTCCCACTGAAAGATCTCAGCTTCTGTGGACTCACCACCTACAGGAGGATCAGTGAGGGGCCGGTGCTCTGTGTGCTGGGTGGCATCTCTGGCCACCCCCCCAACCCAGAAATGGATTAAGGGGAAGAAAATGGATGGATGGATGGATGGAGGTTAACCAGTGCAAAAATGGACAAAGTGACAAGGTTTTTAGGGAGTTTCTGCTCTTATTGCAGCTCCGTTTAGGGTTCTCGCTGTGGGCTACAACAACTCTGATTCCCTGCGCTACAGAAACATTTCATAGACAAAAAGAATAGGAGCAATTTGCTTTATTGACCCACTTTTACCACCAAAAGTAGAACATCTGCTCCAGCTGATCCACTCCACTACGCAAAGACACTCCAGACTTGAGTAAGGGTTCCTATAGCGAATTCAGAGCATCCTCTTACTGTACTATAAATAACTGGTCATAAATGCATCTGCTTTTTCCCCAACACTGTATAAAAGAGACTAAATGCGGCGCTGGTGAAGAGAGCTATCCAAGGTGCTGAAACACAACGGCACTTTCTCTATCCTGAGTATTTTCAAATGCCAGTAATACAGGCTAATGAAATCTATATGCGATAGAATTTCCAGTGTAACTGTGTCATTGACATTAATAAGTGCATCATTTACAGACTTAAGCGCCACTTAAACCCATGACTGCTGATTCAAAGAGCATGAGTCATTTGTTAATGACAGTATTCCTTTGGTGCTGGGGTCTTGGTAGGAGTTGCCGCTATACAGTTTATTCACTGGTTGGAATGACCTTGCTACTTCAAATTGGACAGGTGTAAGCGGGATGTTTGACTCAGATTAACCCCTGTCTATATCTGTCAGTCTGTCAGTCTGTAAGTGGGCACGTCTGGATGTGATTGCAGACTGGAGTGATGGAATAGAGCTGCTTCTAGAGGCTAAAGTGACAGGCGGAGGCAGGAGAGGCCAGGCTTTGTTCAACCCCACATTTATAACTTCATTACAAGTGCCCTGTAGCCGCAGTGAATTCCAAACTAGTCCTGACTAGTCATATGAACCAACTCTGAGGGGCACAGGGACTGGCCTCTTGCTGGGACTCTGAGGAACACAGGGACTGGCCTCCAGCTGGGACTCTGAGGAACACAGGGACTGGACTCCAGCTGGTGCCCAGGGTAAGGACTGAACATGGGGAGGCAGCCTTTCAGATTTATGCAGTTACAATCTGGAATCATTTCTGGAGAATGTGAGACAGCTTTCTTCTCTATCTTGTTTCGTTAAGCTCTTTAAGTTGCCTTGTTTATGAACTGTGCTGTACAAATAAACTTGCCGTGCCTTGGCTGTACAGTGATTAGCTCTTGCCGATTATGTGCCATCCTTGTCGAGGTCAGCCAAGTCCTAAAAACACCTTGTTTTCTTTCCTAGGATGATCGGGGGATTAATGGAAGAAGTGATGAAGGAGCGTGGGATAGGATCAGTTGTGAAAAAACGAGTGGGAGAGACAAAAGCTGTTGGAACCAGAAAGAGGCTTGATTCTGTAAATGGCAGGAACACAGGAGTCACTCTTTGCCACATGTCCACCCACAACAGGACGTCTGCTCGGCCGAGTGAGATCAGGGTCACTGCTTGTTATTGCCGTCTGAACACTAGAGTCTGATTTGAACACATCAGAGTAATGTGGTATTCATGATCGTTTTGTAAGGTGTCCTTGATGTAGGCCAAGGGTTCTCCTTGAAGAAGAATACTTGTATTATTGTTTAATGAGATATTCACACTGACGGCATGCCATTTATTGACTCTTGCCTTTTATAAATGTAATCTTTCATACACACAGTATACATATAAATGCTAAATACAATATTGTTTTTAAATAGTTGCTTATTTTTCCCATTTCTAAGCTTTTGTTTCACCAGAATAAAATGGAGGGTCTCGATGTGATTTGAACCATGATGACAGTTTAATTAGGTTTTTTCCCCCAAAGCTAAAACAAAGCCTTTTCAAATATTTATTTTGCAGTCCTAAAAGCAACCAATTATTATGACAACCGCTGATGTGCGCCCAAATAACAACCAAAGAAAACATTCCTTGATAGCATGGACTGGACTATTATGATTGATGCGAGTGTGGGAGTGAGTCAGGGGAAGAGGCAGTGTGCCTGACATCCCCAGCCCCTTCACACTTACATAACACACGCATGAAATGAGAAGCGGGAAGCAGCCTCCACCTGTAGGCTCCACACCGAGCCCAGACAGCCCTGACCTTTGGCCATACGCACACGGCACTATCTCTATGTTGGAGAAGACCTTGTGGCTTTCCAGAGTCATATAGTCAAAGGCACGCACAGGGGTAAACAACGGCTAAACTGACTTCCATGTACTGTACTCCAATGCCTCTGTCTGAGAGACCATTGTTACTGCATGATTACTTACAAAAATGCATAATAATAATATAAAGCTGTTATTGTGAACACGTGTGAGCAGCATCAGGGCGTACAATGCAAACTGCCCTTTTGACCATATCTTCAGCTTGTGTCTGGAATGGAGCTCTTGAGACTGCGGTGGTCCCCTGTCAGAAGGATGGGCAGGTCCGACAAAGACACTGATGAGATGAAGATTGTGTTTGAAGATGTTTACCTGGCTTCAGCAACCGAGCAGCAGTAACTCCCACTCCGCCGCGAGCTCCTGCCCACCCGCAGCTCCTCTCGAGACTTGCGGCGATTAAAGTAGTCGGTGAGTTTCCCAAAACTTGACATTGTTTTGCAAAAAAGAACAAAAATCTTCCAAAATGACTTGTGGTCGTTCTTCTCCTTTCCTCCCTGGCCGTTTCATCCGAAGGTCCGAGTCTCTCTGCGGTCCCTCATCTTCACCCACAAAGCTCTACACTCGCCGTCTTTATGATTTCTTAAAATAGCAGCGTTTGTAAGTGGCTGCCAACGGCTTTGGTTGGAGTGGCGCCCCCGCAGAGGCGAGAGGAGCGAGGGGAGAGGGAGCGATGGCAGCTTCTCCGCATCAGTTCTTCTTGTGTTTTGGAGAAAGCCGTCAGCTGCTGGGAGGATATGAAGCGCTTCAGCCCACCCCCTTCTTTCCCCTCTCTGCATGTGCGCCGCTGCTACTGCTACTGCTGATTCTGCTGCTGCTGCTGCTTCGGCACGTATTGTCTGCGTCTGTCTGTGTAGTAGTGGACGGATTGGTTTTTCACGTGGAGACCAGGTGCCACTCCGACCGCAAACGTTGGCTCCCAGGCAAATCGCACCCCTGACGCACCTGCGCTACAACCTCTCCCTTCTCAGCCTCTTCCATCATTTCCCCCCAAGAAAAAAAGAGAAAAGAAAGTGTGCATTTGTGTGTATTGATTTGGTGTGGTACAAAAGCCTCTTGTTAGTTTGCAGGGGGATACAAGGAGGAGTGGTGAGGAGGGAGGGTGCGTTGTTGTGAGGGGCTAATTAAACTCCCACACATGCAGACATTCCTCTGTCTATCGCTGTTCAAGTCTGATCAAAAAATGTCCTCTTCGTCACATTCGACTCCGAGCGACTGATATATTCCTGGAATGAGATGACTTCAGCGTGATTGTTAAATCTTGGTTGTTTCCAGTGTCCTTCAATCACTTCTCCTCAAGAGCAACACCTATAATTATAGTCGGGAAACCAAAGCTGAATTGATTGGTTGCATGGCTTCAACAAATCAACACAGCAAAACGGATTATGTGTTTCCCCAATATATTTAGTTATATTATATTTAATTGTTGAAAGAAAAAGCTGCAGCTAGTGATTATTTAGTTCTATCTTGTATTTATGTGTCATCACAACATTTCAAAGAGCCTTTAGTTTAAACAGTAGTAGGGCTGGGACAACGCGTAGACGTAATCGGTGACGTCGACGCAAAAAATACACCGACGTATAATATGCGCGTCGGTGCGTCACACACAAAACAAAGATGGCGGCGCGCGGCAGCAATGCGAGTGCCGTGTGCAAGCCGGTGTAACGCTGAGATACACTGCCTTGAAGAAATGCACAGCCTCAGCTGTTTATCATGTAATGCAAACCTGCGCATGCGCGTCTCACGGCAGCCGAAGCAAACCAAGATGGCGGACCGTGAATTTCTTTAAAAGTTAAAATACGAACGAATTCAGACACGAATGTCACTTTTAATGCAATTTGAGGCGATATGTTGATGGTTCCGTTTTGTCACATGTGGGTTTTAAGAGTCAAAGTTTTGTGCAAAGTTTAGTTTAAGCACTCAACTGCGCCTGTGAAACCACAAAGCTAATGTTTTCATAGCAGTCCGCAGCTGCTGACGTAGGCTGATGACGCGTCCTGTGGCCACTCTACACTCTTATGTAGCCATGACAGGCTGATGGCTCCCACTGTTTTTGCTGGAAAAGCACTCTTTGTTTAGCTTAAAGCCTTCAAGTTTACATTGGTTACTGTTTTCTTTTAGTTGATCTACACAAGTATTTGGCTGAACTTTTTCATATTTTTATTGAATGCTAAGCATCAAATGTTTGTTTCAAGAATGATAAGATGCACTTTTTTCAGTAAGCTGTGTTTTCAAGGCTTTAAGGTTTTATGCTACCTCTAAGAATGTCTTATTTTTTAATTTTAAGAGCAAGCAATACATATTTTTTGTGAAGGAATTCATGTTTTTTTCATTAAAATATTTAAATCAACATGTATACATCAATATTAGTCAATTAATGGGGAGATAATCGAGAATCGAATCGAATCGAAATCGAATCGAAGCGAAAAAAATAATCGTTAGATTAATCGATGCATCAAAAAAATAATCGCTAGATTAATCGTTTAAAAAATAATCGTTTATCCCAGCCCTAAACAGTAGTGTTTTCTCCAGTAACTACGATGCGTATGTCAGAAATCTAGTCTTAGTTTAAAGTATAGACTGTATATACTGTATTAACAGAGGTTGTCACGCCTATCTCCGCCGTTTTAACTAATTGGCCAAAAATAGGGCTTTCATGGAGTGATTTAAAATGGCTGGAAAATGTGAAAAAAACGCATCTGCGCATACGTCAGCCGGCACAAGCCCCATTCATGTAAACAAGTGACTTCTAAAATTCACAGCGAGTAAACTAGAGTAGTCAGAAAAAAAAACACGTTTTCCAGAGGTAAAAAGATGCTATATGTTAGCATTGGCTAATTAGAGACCGGAGAGAGACCAGAGAGAGAGAGACCAGAGAGAGAGACCAGAGATAGACCAGAGAGAGACCAGAGAGAGACCAGAGAGAGGACTGTGACCTTCCTGTTCTTTATAAATCCAGACTTTAAAACCGACCCGGCCCGGGGGGTATTGCTGCATATTGCACATCATTTTGGCCACTTTTGAGCCGGGACCCGCCCCCACTGGTTTAAAGCTGATTTCTCTGTCATTCCTGGGCCAATCAAACCTGAAACAAAAACTGTCACAAAGTTCCATATCTTCTTTGTCGGTACTGTGGTCTAATAATTGTCTCTCTTTTCTGTGTTTCCAGAAGTGGTGACAATATTCAAAAACATATGCACGATGTTGGACTTTCGAACATCCAATCCAAAAACAGGACGTTTATTTACAATATTTATTTAAAAAGGCTTCTTTCCTATTGGCACCAATTCCCTCCAACTGAAATTTAACTCTAGAATATGAAACTTTTGACTTATCTATGAATTATTATGTTTGATTAAATAAGTAATATGTTTTTCCCCAAAAAAATACGTCTAACAAAACATAATAGTGGCTTAACACATTTATTTTGGATGCTCAAAGACGCAAACGTAGGTTTACTGTTACTGAGGATACTCAAGATGGCGCCGTGTCAGGGCACTGCAGTAAGAACTCTGTGCCAGTTTCTCGCTTTAACTCTGTCTAACGACCTGAAATGGGACAAAAACACTAACCGGGTCGTTAAGAAAGCTCGTCAGCATCTCTACTTTCTGCGAAAACATAGAGAATTTCCCAGTAACTCTAAGATTCTGCTTAACTTTTATCGCTGCACCATTGGGAGTTTGCTTGATGGTTCTGTGACTGTGTGGTTTGGTGACATCACAAACAAAGAAAGGAGAGCTCTAAACAAGGTGCTCCGCTCTGCAAAGAGAACTGTGAGACCAGAGAGAGACCAGAGAGAGACCAGAGAGAGACCAGAGAGAGACCAGAGAGAGACCAGAGAGAGACCAGAGAGAGAGACCGGAGAGAGACCAGAGAGAGACCAGAGAGAGACCAGAGAGAGAGAGACCAGAGAGAGACCAGAGAGAGAGACCGGAGAGAGACCAGAGAGAGAGAGACCAGAGAGAGAGACCAGAGAGAGAGACCGGAGAGAGACCAGAGAGAGAGAGACCAGAGAGAGAGACCAGAGAGAGAGACCAGAGAGAGAGACCGGAGAGAGACCAGAGAGAGAGAGACCAGAGAGAGACCAGAGAGATAAACAAGAGATAGACCAGAGAGAGTACTGTGACCTTCCTGTTCTTTATAAATCCAGACTTTAAAACCGAGCACTCAGAATAATCAATTACTCTTTTGGCCACCCTTGAAAAGCCATGTTCCAGCTTCTTCCTTCTGGCAGAAGATATCGTTCGCTGAGATGCAGGACATCTTGATATGCTAACATGCTAACAGCTTCTTCTCATAAGCTGTTAGCAGTTTGAACAGAGCACTTTAATGATCTTGCCTTTGTACTGAAACCGTTTTAGCCGATCGATTTCACAGTGACAATTGTTTACTGTTTTATTGTGTTGTTTTATGTCTGTACTTGTTTTGTGCACACTGCAGACTTTGAAAAATGTATTCCAATGTGGTTTTACTGCAAATACATGAATCTGAATCTGATCTGCCGCTCCACATGACATCATTCTTTCACTCCATACACAGAGGTAATAAACTACTGCTGTAGCCACATCTTCCTAGGCCACGCTGACAGAAACAAGTCAATCAGGATGTGTTATCGCCCCCTCCGATCCCTACCAATCATTCATGACCTCAAGCAAGACACTTCGCCCTTTCTAGGCAATGTGGGAGAAGCGTCTTGCCAAAGGACACAACAATCACAGGAAATCAAGCAAAACAAAACAACAAAGGAAACTGATAAATAATAATTAATAAAACCATGCACCAAAGAGGAACAAAATTCCACACCTGATTATTGTCATTTGTATGTGTAGTTATTATAATTGTTTGTATGTGTGGTTCCATCAGTGCAGGCTCTACATCAGACATGGGCAAACTTTTCCTCCTGAGGGCCACATTGGAAATTAGGTCCGGATCCCGACAGCCGTCTGATATTCAAATGGTTTTCTCAGGCTTCATTTTAAAACATATATGTATTGTTTATATGAAAAAATAGCTCTGCACACAGCACACAGGGGGATTGTATGATGTTTAAACTGAAATTACCCCACTGTGGAATGAATAAATGTTCTTAATCCTAATCTCTCTTGATCTTAATCTTAATCTATATAAATTGAGGAGGGCTCAGGGGCCTGATAAAAGCATCCAAGGGGCCGCATCTGGCCCACGGTCCGGGGTTTGCCCACCACTGCTCTACATGGACATAGCTGACTGTGAAACAAATGCAGATTCCCATGTAAGTAAGTAAGTAAGTAAGTAAGTTTTTATTTATATACCGCCTTTTCACTGCAGATCTGAGTCTCAAAGCGGTTTACAATTGTTAATGTAACAAGGTTTTGAGTAAGGAAATTGCTGCAAATATGTTTCTTCATAAATCGTTCTTGTCCTAAAAAGGGACTGAAGAGAAGAAGACACACTTAAAACACACATTTGAAATACCGATAGATTTCTATGGAGCGACCTGTTGATCCACTGACCCACTGCTCTTCATAACAACATCAAGAGGTTTTATAAAATAGTCTGAACTGAAAAAGAACACCATTTCAAAGCAGGCTCTTGAGCTTTTCACAGACCGCCCCTCCTCATTCCTTCACAAGAACTGAGCAAAGTAAATGATGACGCAGAGGCGATGTCGTGACCCACACTGCTCCCCTGTCCCTGGCCTGTGATCCGCCTTCAGCCTAATGTGGTGTGAAAGCTGTGTTAGCTGCGGAGCTTCTCCTGCTAAACTGTTGAGCTCATCGATCGGCTGCCTCTGCTGTCTCCCTCCATTGCTCCCTAAATTCTCCTT